AGATTATTACTAGACGCAAGATATGAAAAAAAAACCATAAGGGCTATAGCAACGTAGACAAGGAGGATACACCTTATCAACTTGGTAAAAAAAAAGTAGCGTTCAATAGCTGATGTTGAGTACTCACGTTGATGTCCACCTGATACCTTCAAAGACCAACAAACGGTCCGTATTTACGGAGTACCTTGGCTCTGAAGATGCCAATGACTTTCTGTTTCAACATGCGAGTGGGAAACACGTGACTGGGTACGAAGTGAAGGACGATTGCTCGGAGGATACCACAAGTAGCCGAGCGAGCGCAAAGGTTGCAGTCGGGTGACAGGAATTCGACAAAATTTTCCGGTAGGCTAAATATCTTCTTCCAAAATAGAGGGTCACCGTTAGGCGTTGCTCGCGTCGCCCTACTCCTGACCGCTATGACGCCGCGGCGCCGATTGCGAATAGGTTGAGCCGGCGCAGGGGTGTTGCGTGCCCAATTGGCAGGGGCTGAGCGTCGGCGTACAGGTCGAGAAGGCAGATTTACGTGCCCGGTAATCGAGATATTTCCAGATATTCTCATGGACATGGTGAAAAATCTATAGGACAGGACAAATTAGACATTGTGAGGAAAATTTGGTAATACGGTGAATGTTGTAACTGACTAAAGAAGTGAAAACGTGATCTAAGTGAGTGGATGCCACGCGATGATACGGCAGGTCAACTATTCCGTAAGGCGATTCCAGATCGTGCTTGAAAGCGCAGCAATGTATGACTTCGTAAAGACTATATAGAAGGAAGAGAAATCAGAAAGCTGTTGGGAAGATATGGTGATACTATCAATATTCTGACTGACCCGAACAGCAAAAGCGGGATTGTTGAAGTGAGCAGATGAAATGTTATGATGTCTGAGTTCAGATGTTTGAGGTGGGAATCCCGGATCTTGGCTTGGAAGTGAATTGATATATGAGTTGTCGTTATCCTTTATGGTGTGTTTACAGAGAGGATCATACAACGCGAACCCCTTGTCGCACAAATCAGTGGTAAGATGCGCTCCTTTCAAGCAGTCTCGCCGCTACTCACGCGCTCGAGAACACGCCATCGACAATGAAGTTGTCATGCTCAGCGGTAGAATAGAGCCCGCATAAACAAAGTATGTTTGGCTGCTCATTACGATTGTGCTACTTTAATGGGTCCCCCTACTTTAACTAATCCTTTTAAGGGCTTGTAGCCCACCTTACCGACGCGATTTTCGGCTTATCACGGCCACCCCAGTGCACGTAAAACAAATCTCCATATTAGTCCCACCGCTATGGCCGTTTTACGTAGCCATCTTTAGAGGGTTGTTTCCCATCAATTTTGTTCATGAAGTTCTTTGTTATTCCAACAGAGTTGTTTTCAAAGGGAAGAGTATAACGTGAAGCCGTTCTTGTGTAAAAATTGCGTATCACGCGCTCCCCTTAGGCTTCGAGCCACGTGCTGATTTCGGCACTGCTACGCACCTGTGAAGGTGGTACTGTGGAACAAAGGAGTCGCGAACAAAGCCGTAGTTGCTCAGTGCGATCGTGTTGAGGCCAGGTCACTTCAAGCTTGAACGTCCATAACCTCCACCTCTACGGCTTCTTCTCTAGATCATCTCTCCAGATTTCTCTTCACCTATTCAGCTTGATTAATCTTGAGAAAACGAACACCCACTCGAAACTGGTATGCAGTAGCAACAATCATCCTTTATCCACTTTTTCTAGTCTTCACCATCTGCTTGACCTCTGAAGCGCGAACTTCTTTTCAACATCCACTCTTGTAGATGAAGCTCCGCCGCGCACCACGAATCTTCCACAAGATTCGGAAGCTAACTGATAGGCTTACCAACAGAGTCCGTGGACGTGACGGTAAGAATTGGCCTTGATTAATGAGGTGGACCACTTTTTTACGAATGTAACTTTGCCCTCACTTCTGTAGATGTCGAACGTAAACTGATGGAAACGAAGCAAACTATGCTGCCGAGATTGATGATTGCAAAGATTTCTGCCCACACTGACGACGGCACCCCTCGAACCGGATCTGAAAGTGCACCCGAATCCCATCTCGAAGAGAACCTGGCACATGAACATGGCGCCTTGGTCTCCCTTGAATCTTCCGCTTCGGAAATCGGTCCTGCTTCGATTGTTGCGATTGCCAATCAATCTTTAAGCTCACAAGACCAGGTGAGTTTGAAAGGCTATGTATCTAGCTAGGATGCAGGAGCTGACCACCCACGCACCATCTCGTACTCTGAACCGGTTGTGTAAGGCTCTGTCATTGACCGAGAATGTTCCTTCTGAAATTGAAGAGGTTGAGGGAGCGTCGTCTAGTATTTCTCTGGTGTCAGTGAGAAAGCGACCCTACGAAGAAGCAAATGGCTTGGCAGTCCATCCAGATTTGGTCATCAAGCGAGCAAAACATTCGATTGTACACAACTACGCGGCAGTCTTGCGCCTCATGAAGGACATGTATTTGAATGTGAGAGACATCATCTGTGGTCAGTCGGCGATTTTAGATACATTATATCAACTGAGTAGTTTACTAACTTGATATCCTTAGACCAAGGGCCTGAAATTGATCGAGTTACATCGATGGAGATTAAATACGCTCAAGTGCTTAGCGAAATGAGGAGCATGTTTTCACAAGTTGAACATTACTTTCAGGAACTTCTCTTGGATGAAAAGGATACTGTCATGTATGAAGCGGGTCATATCTGAGTTTTGTATTGACAGAGCTTTGTGTTGTTATGTGATTTTCTGGGTCTGTTTGGAATTAAGGTTGTCCGGAGTTCCCTACTGTGCATCTAGCCCTCTGGATGACTTTTGTTTCCACCTTTGTTTTCAATTCTTTCCTCACCTTTTACATAAATCTGGCCTTTTAATTACGTGGCACGCTTTTTGCTCATGCCATCAAAACTTAGCATTTGCTTACAGAAACAGCTGAAGGTATTTTTGAGCATCAATTTTGATCTCCTGCTTAAAGGTTGGGACGTTCAAAGGTTAATGTTACCTTCGAAAGTTAACATTAACTTTCGAGGTTAACATTAACTTTCGGGGTTAACATTAACTTTTGAAGTTAACATTAACTTTTGAAGTTAACAATAACTTTTGATGTTAACATTAACTTTCGAAGTTGACATTACCTTTCGAAGTTAACATTAACTTTTGAAGTTAACATTTCAAAGTTAACATGCTGAGCCTCAGACCTATCATTTGGAGCTAGTAAATGGAAACTCAAACACGGGCAAATTTTGATTTGAAATTCAAAGACATTAAATTCCAGAAGCCCTATCAACGCTTGCTCACTTTTTACTTTATTGTCAAAATTTTGTATGCAACACAAAATTTTGTATGCAACGTTTTTTTTATGGATCACAAGAGAAAATGCGAACCTCATTCGCAAATTAGACTGCATCGGATATGGTGGGATTGGGTCGAAAGATGATCACCGATTTTGTATCGGGCGCGAGATTGCATCGGGGATGCGGGGTAGATGCGGCCTCGGTTGAGGGCTACGCGATGGGATGATTCTATCGCATTCGGGTTTGAGTCGGAAACGTACTTTGCGTGTTTGCATCGGGCTGAGGCTCAGTCGGATGCCACGTACCCGGTTTGAAATCGGAGCTGTCTTCGATCGGATCAGCCCGCCCGTTTTTGAAACGGACTGAACAATCAGTCGCGTGATGCGTGCTCGATTGCAGATCGGAAGTCTGTCTAATCGCATGACTTGGGCGCGATTCTGCATCGGGGCGCCCTTCCCGAAATGACAACAGGAAGGGCTTTCCGACGTGAATTTCTTGGCGGTGTATAAACCTCCTTTTCAGGAGTCAACTAACTGAAGTCTGTCTGGATTTATCCAAACAGACTGTTAGTCCGCTTTTCCCTGTCTTTCTTTTCTTCCTTTACTTCAATTTGGATCTACTACATATTTGAAACAAAGAAGTAAAATTAAGCATAACTTACCTTCAGCCCATTTAGTGAGAATTGAGCACTTCCAAAGAGTACCCAAACCTCACAGACTCCCCCAAGGCCCAGTGCATGATCAGTCAAGCTTGGAAATGTCGAGTGAACTAAGCTCATATGTGTTTGTAGCATTTCCATCTTGGATGACTCAGACAAACAATATATTACAATTAGTGAAGAAAACTTATAACATCAAAAGACAAGCTATGTAAGCACAAACTGATAATTAGACACTATACATGTGATATTGGAAGACACAAGACCCTACGTCATAGGTAGGTTGAAATCAGTTGCAATATGTTATCAACATACATGGACAGTACACATGTAGGCCCAAATCAATTTGACAATGAAGATTGTGAGAATAGGAAAAGAGACACAAGTTCTGGAAGAATTAGGAACAATTTATATGAAACATATCTGACAAGGTGTTACATGATTAGTCACGTGGTAATCCTGAATCCGCTAGTAATACCCTCATGCCAGCTTGGATTGTGTGATTTGCTCATTTGATTGCACCATTCTGTTCATGAAAATACTGTAAAGAATTTTGGACTTTGATCCCATGTTCAGCAAAATAAGATTTGAGAGAATTATTAAGAAATTCACCACCTCCATCAGTCCACCAATGAATGACCCCTTTTCCAGTCCTTCTTTCGACTTCTGCTATAAATGGTTTGATGTGAGTACTTGCTTTGCTTTTGGATTTGGGGAGATAAGTGTGCATAAAGGTTGAATATACATCTCTTATTTCAAGGGAATATTCAGAACCTGATACCGTTTTTACCGGGAATGGTCCACAGAGATAGGCCACGACTAATAAGAGGACCATCATACAAAATAAGTGAAGGGCCAATGGTTGACATTTTTGTTGATTTTGCAACGGCAAAGTCTTCACACGGTATTGTCTTGGTTAGTTTCTATGGTAAACCTATACAAGATTGATCACAAATTAATTTGAGTAAGGTCTTGTCATTTGGATGACCAAGACGGCAATGCCATAAGTTAAAATCACCTAACACAGCAGCAGTTTCAATTTGAGCAGGTATGGTGTTAAAAATCCATTTCCTACCAATTTTCTGTGCCGTAAGAACTCTCGAGTTGTTTCTCGGGAGATCAATACAATTTTGAGAATTTTGAAAAGTAATACCGATTTCTTCAAGTTGTATACCAGATCATAAGCTGTGTCTCAAGTTCTCACAGAAGTATATGTTATCAACATCCAAAAACTCTTTTGAGTTTGTTACATTGCATATGCGCACACGTCCTATACCAGAAATAAAAGAAGAAGAGGAGTTGTTTGCCATTCTAACTGGTCAGAGTGTGATGTGACAAAAGGATGAAAAATAAGATTGGTTATTGAAAAAATGGTGCGTAGCACCGGTGTTGAAAATAATGGTAGAGGGTGCGGTATCAGTGTCCAATTGAGAAACCCAGACTTGTCTGAGATCCACACACCTAGAGAAGTCGATATCCGCAAATTGTGGTTCGATCACTCTTGCGTCGGAAGTTGAAGCTGCCTGTGTTTGACGCTCCTTGTTCTTCGCCTTGAGAGTTCAACAATAAGATCTAAGATGACCAGTCTTCTTACAGTAGTAACAGTAGGCCTTAGATTGGTTTAGATACAACTGTACTTAACCCATAGGCCACAGTAACATTCCCTCTTTGATGTGCTACGTGCGCAGCGCCCATTGCCCTGATCATGGAAGATGAATTGATTATTGTCTTGGGATTGTTGATAATCATGGCTTAAAAGGTGTTAGTGATTTTCGGAAAATCCTTTGGTACACTGTTCAACAAAATACCGGCAAAGATGTCATCTGGTACAACTAATTCTGATCTTTCAAGTTTTTGATGTAGCGTAGAAGCTGAATGAACATGAGCATCCAACACCATAGATGAGGGATCATACTTGATTGAAGCAAATTTGTTGAGTAAGGACATTTGACCAGCAAAGGTTTCTCCAGGAAATTGACTTTTGAGATAGGGGTAACGAGCAGAAGGGATAGGGGAATGTTCTTTTAATTTCATTCCAATATGTCTATCAACAGTCCAGTGAAATAATCTGTTGAATCCTCTAGCTATATCTTTACGCCAGCCAGAGACCAATGGAATAGCTGCTGGGTGTAAATAATTCATACATCCAGTCATAATTTCTAGATATTCCTGTATGTCAGCGTCCCTGACGTCGAAATTGGAACCATTGGATGCTAGTTGAGCAAGGCTTGCCAGCTTGACTTGACAATTACAAGTCCTAACAATCCATGAGTAAGTAATCTCACTTCCTGCAATAGTAAAGACATTATGAATGGTCTGATTCACCATTTGAGGAGCATTATTAATAGTTTGTTGATTCTGTTGTAGGCTCTGATGTAACGTTTGAGAATTGTCTGGTGGAGATGTAACACCCATACCAGTGTTTCCGATGATTTGAGTGTCCATATTTTGATCCATAGTTACGGATTCTAGCAAGACGTCGGCTGATTCAATTGTTGTTGCGTAAAGATTAGGAAGAGGTGGTTGATTGTCGGAAGTTTGTTGATTGTCAATGGCAGTAATATTTGATTTGGCAGATTCGAACAAAAGTTCAGATTTGTCTGGAACAGTATAGCTCATAACCTGATGGGACAAAATCAGAAGAGATAAGAACTAGTGAACTAGCGTCAGCATAAGAACTACCAAAACAATGAAGATTGTGACAATTGCATTGAGAGAAAAACAAAGTTCTAACCTAGTGAACTAGTGTCAGCATAAGAGCTACCAAAACAATGAAGATTGTGAGAATGATTAGTCTGAAACAAAGAAATGAAACACACCACATTCACACAAATTCCTCAATCTTCCAACCAGGCTAAACCAAAAATGGGTGAGACCAGGCTTAGTGCTTAGCCATCTACAATGCCTACCCAGTCCAGCCGTAACAGAAACACGCTACCATACATTATGTGTACATACAAAGACAGTACACATGTAGATTGATAGTGTAAGTTATGTATGCATACTTAGGCACTACACATGTAGCATTGAAAACACATGACATTACAAATGTAGGTTGAAGCCAGTTACCATATGTTATGTAGTACATGTTTCAATCATGTTAGCTTGATAATAATATTCAGGTTCTAAATGTAAATTCAAGTTCTAGAAGTGAAGTTGGACCTGACTCTAATGCAGCAAAATGTATAACATTTTGGATCCAACTTTGATGTGTAACATTTTGATTAGAATTCAAATGATTACTATGGTGATTATCATTATCATTGGTTGAAATTTAATTATGGAGTTTGACCTCTTATATCAATTTGATGAAATCTTGATGAACTACAATATCCTCACATAAATATTTAATTTATGAAATTCAAGATAAAGAAGAATTTGTTAGATATTGCTATGATTTGAAAACAATTATTTCAATCTTGATATCTAGAGTCCTAAATATATATATAAGCCTTCACTAATTCCGCATCTCACAATCACTCCACTTTGGATTTGTCTTTGAGTATTGCATTTTCAAAGCCCACCTTCCACACTCAAATTTCCACCCCCCCATTGAATTCTTCATTATTGGTGCATACTTAACAGGTCAAAGGCTGATTCCTTATTTTCAATGTTGTCAATTCATCTTGACAATCCTGATAATCACCCCCTCATGCACACATCAAATAGTTTTTATCATTGGTCACGGCCAGTGCAATAGCACCAGATTTCAAAACATGTCATACCTACTTTGTGACAAGACCATTGCAAAATGGACCACTATATACTAAGAGAGTAAAGCTTTGCCATGAGTCCATATAAGACTTGAAACAATTAAGATTTTACAAGGATCAGAACTTGGGTCTAAAACTGCAGTCTGAACTGGGAAAATAAAAATCTTGATAACTTCTCTATAGTTCCAGGTGGATTGAATCCCTTAGATCTTCTTCAAAACTAGCCATCATCATGTTGGAAATCTCTTCCTCAATCAGTGGTTGGAGGAGTTCAATATTGTCACGTTTGGTATCTTTTTTACAAAATGAGTTCCCATCACCTCTTTTGGGAGTGAGTTTTGATGAGCCTCTCCATTTCAGTAGCAGTACATCATATTCTAAAACATCATCTGAAATTTCTTGCTGATGAATTTTCAAGGATTTATATCTGTGTCCATAGAAAGCTCTTGCCAAGTTGACTTATTAGAATGCATAATGAAGGTGGGTAATGTCACAAATCATTGACTAACTTAGAAGTGTTTTTAAGATGTTAATTTTGCTTGTAGATGGTTAAGGCTAAGCTCCTGGTATTTTTGTATGACTAAATCACACTGAACTGCCAACATAGATGCCTTGGGCTGTGGAATCCAGGCATCATTGGACATAAATCCGCGGACAGACCTTGTCCAAGGGAATCTTCTGCGCTGAGAATTGCCGTGGATCAAAACCTTGGACAGCTTCTGTCCAAGGTTTGGAATCCGATGATACCTCAGATTGAAAAATCCAAGGTAAATATGTTGGTAGTGCTGAATTGAGTCGGCCCAAGCCCTGATCACTACTTGTCAAGTAGTGGCTCACCCAAACCCCAACACAACGGGTAAAAAGACCTCCCAAGCCCGTTCGGGGTTTCCCAAACTGTTTTTTTGCAGAAAATGAGGTGCCCAAACACCGACCGGGTTCCCTGCCGTGGACTTGTTGGCTGGACCAAAAAGGGTCCTTACCCAGGTTTGAACACTGGACTGATCCATGTATCAATATTGATGCAAAGAAAGCGGAGTTTCTCATCTCCTTTCACTGTGACCACTACATGCAAACGGGTGACACTTTGGATTTGGGGTTGCGCTGACCCTGCATTGACCCCATGCTTTTGCAAGGCCCCCCCTTTGATTTTGTGTGGCGTCAGCACCTTGCGTGTAGTGAACTTGATGGCTGGCATTGATGTGGCAGCCATAGCATTGTGGGTAAGGCTCCTGGGTGTGTAGTAGGGCTTTACCTGACAGCATACTCAATAGGTGTTACCTGCAATGTGGTACTTGAGCCCCGGAGGGAAGTAGTTTTTTTCAAATTTCTACACCCAACCCCCGACTTGCGGGTATCCCCAATGATTGGGGGTTCCAGAACCTCTGGCCAAACCCCGGAACTTTTGGGGTCCCTGTTGGTTCCCAGATTGCGTAGGTAGTTTGGTGCTCAGGCTGAGAATTGAGTGTGCTTCATGAGAATATAAGGGTGTCAAGGGCTCAGGAGGTGTGCTGTAATTGTTCCGCCTTTTTGGACTAATCACTAGTGTGTTGAACTGTGTTGCAGAAACTGGTTGGTTGTGCTTATTGCTAGTTTACCCAAAGCCTGAGACGGTAGTCTAGAGTCCATTACATAACGTAAGGGTTCGGGCTAAATGAGCGCGGGGCAGCTCACGGAACCGGGTAACAGGGTCGTGATGGGAGAACAATTATTTCTGAAACGGAAGAAGGAAAAAATTTTCCCTTCGCTTCTTCCAATTCAGCTTCTTCTCCCTCTTCTGCTCTTCATCAGCTCTTTCGCCCATTTTTCCTATTCTCTCAAGATCTTTCAGATTCATAGAAAACTTTTCAAACATCTTCATATCTCTATAGTCAATCAGATCTCTCCCTCTTAAATATATTCTTCACGTTTTCCTTTTCAAATGGATTCAAATCAAAAAGAAAAACTAGTAGCATCCAAGAATAAATTGCATCAAATGCATTTAGAGGCGGAAGAGAAGAAGAGAATTCAAGCAGAGAAAGAACGAGTTCAAGCGGAAGACAGGGCAAAGCGGGCTGGATCCAGAGCTCCACAGTCCTCTCAACTTCCTAACAGCACGTTGACGGAAGGAGGTGGTACTGATCCTCATACTGCGGATAACGATGGCGACCCTATTGAACAAGAGGATCCGAGAGACGCCAAAGGTGATGAGGGAGACGATGAATCATCCGAAGCAGAAGGCGACCCTATTGATTTCAAGTCAGCTTTAAAGAAGAAGATCCTTTTGAAAGAGGACGGCTCACGGGTTCCAAGCCTTGAAAAGAATATCAGGATCAAGGGTAAGTTTTTAAAAGAAATTCTCTTTAACCCCTTCTAGCCTTCACATAGTTCCTTCAGATTGCTGGTCTCCCAGTCCCGGTCTGTGTTGGCTTTTTGGCTGCCTGAGGCGCCAGTGTCAGTTTCCTTCGGGATCTGACAGGATTGCAGCTTAAAGCGCTCCTTTTTGACGGTAATTGGTGGAGACGCTGCCTTTGGCGCGCTCCTACCAGACAGCCTTGGGGTGATACAATTCAACCTGTTAGAATTGTCACCACAAGGCCGTGACCGCTTCCGCAATATTATGCGCGTTTCTCTAGAGGAGTTCCTCTATTGAGAACCCGAAAGGGAGGCAGCAATCAGCGCCAACCTCTATGATTTTATCATTTATCGAGTTTATCAAACAGTATCTTACTGATGGTTTCTCGTCGCCCTTTGTTTGGTTGTTGGCGTTCACAGTCCCTTCCGCAGAAGACTCGGACACTGACCTCCAAACGAGTGTACCGAGGTCAAATGAACTCAACCATGCGGTTGAATTTGGCACCGTCGAGGAGGCTAGAGCGACTCTAGCAAAGATTGATGAAGTCTTAAAGCGGACGACTCATTTCGATAATCCAAACCCTCCTCCTAAAGCGGTAACCGTCTCGAGGGCTAGACCAGGGTCGACAGTCTTGTCGAACCCTCCATCAGGGGTGGTACCCATCCTGAAGTCTAGACCAGAGCCAAAGGCCTCGTCCAAACCCTCGCGTATCCCGAGCTCCGCTGTTGAGAGCACGCCAGTAATCTCGGGGTCAAAAAGGAAGTCCTTGAAGGACAGTGAAGAGCCTTCCTCGCCCTCCGATCCATCTGACGGGGACGATTACATGCCAGTCGAGGAGCCGAAAAAGCGCTCCAAGTCAAAAAAGAAGAAGTCTAAGAAGTCAAAGGACGACCCACCTTCAGATGGAAGCTCTACCCCTTCTGAGTCATCCTCCTCGGATGACTCTTCAGCGATCAGTGCGGCTGAACTTGAGTGTGAAGCCGTGGATTTCACATCCGCCAACCTCCCAGATCTGCCCACCAAGTGGGACAAAGGGTTCAAGAAACTTCGTGACTACGTACCTCTTACCGTCTTTGTTAAGTCGTCCATTGATGGATGGCATGATATGGATGAAGAAGAAAAGAAAAAGGCAAAGTCTACAGCGACGTCTACTGAGAAGGCCAGAGAGAAACAAATCACCTATGGCGAGTTCATAGAGATGTGTGACCTTGAGGAACGGTACGCGAGAGAGATCTACGGTCATACGGTGTACGCCGACTATGTCGAATCCCACAAACTCATCGTCTCGAGCCTAAAGAAAAAGCACAACTGCTGGATGGTCGCTCTCCGATACCACCTAGCTATCAGAACGGTCATTTTTCGGCGCCGCAAGCTTATCAAGTCCAAAGTTAATGGCAAGACGGTTGTGAAAGACAAGTTACGTGTACCAAACGGCTTACAAGTTACCGTTGAAGAAACTGCCAGACGCGACGCGGAGAGAGCAAATGACCTAGGCTTCATTGACAACCCTTATGCGCCTGGGAAACCTAAATTTGGTTTCAATTTCGCAACTGGAAGAGAACCGGTGGACGTTCCTTCAACCTCAGCCCAAGGGAAGTCAGAAGGGCCCCACTCTAACTCGAATAGTGTTGGTTCCTTAACCCAACAAGGAAAGAGAGGCGGTAAGAAGCCTTTCGTAAAGAAGGGAAACTACGCCCAGAACAAGGGGTCCAAAGACGGTTAGTCTTGCCTGGTCGTGTAGTTGCTTTGTTGATCCTACACTGACCTTCAAGTGGTTTCTTGTTGCCTGACTGTAGATTCCAATGGAGCTGAAGTTTTGGGATCCACTGGCACCTTCGCTAGGAAGAATAACTTCTACAAGAAGAATAACGGGGGAGGTAATGCTCAAAAGTCACAAGTTGTGGAATCAGCTGACAAGTAAGCCTGTCTAGGTCATCAGAGTTTATTGGCCCAATGGACTGACCATTGATTCATCCTTGTTTTCCTCCCTTTCGGTGGCGCCGCGCTCGATTTCAAATCGTACCTCCTTTCACATTGATTGTTTTGATGCGGGTCTTTGCTCCTTTTTACTTTGTGGTACGCAATTAAGAGCATAATTACTTTGTCTTGGAGCGGCTATATAGAATGAGACTTCCTAAAATTTTGAAATAAAAATATCTTCTTGATGCCACATAGATTCTTGATTAGTACTCCTGTACAAGATCCTTTGCCACTGCCATGTGAGACTGCAGGAGCCTTAGCCCCTCCGGAATCAACCCTGATAGAGGTAGACGAAGGAAATTCCGAAAAATCAACTTCAGAGGACGAATCCTTAGATGAAGTCTCAAGTGAAGAAAGCGTACCAGATGATCCCCTGCCTCTATGGGAACAAGAAATCTTCACGGTCCCCGTGGATGATCCCCCCTGGCCAGCGCCAGTTCCATGCCGTATGAAGATCGACGAGTGGGAGGAGTTGATGAAAGAGTCAGGTCTAGAAAAGTGCATTCCGTACATCAGCAATGGTTTCAGAAATGGATTCTGTCTTGGAATACCACAACATACCCTCCCAGATATGCCATGGTATACTCCGCCAAACCACAAGTCAGCACTGGCGGCTAAGACACAAATCGAACGTACCCTGGCAAAGGAACTTGAAGCGGGCCGGATAGCGGGTCCGTTTACCCATGAACAACTAAGGGAAAAGTTTGGCTTCTTCCGTTCTAATCCAATGGGCAGCGCGGTCAATGGAGACGGTTCAATACGGTTGATTAATGATCTGTCATACCCGAAACGTGATGCAAACATTCCGTCAGTAGATTTGTTCGTAAACAAACACAATTATGGAACACAGTGGGACGATTTCAATCGTGTAGCCAGGTTCTTTAGACGCTGCCCAGGGAGATGGATGGTAGCCATCTTCGACTGGCAGAAAGCCTATCGTCAACTCTCGGTCCACCCTTGCCAGCGCCGCTTCTTGATCATTATGGATTTTGAGGGCCGACTTTATGTCGATCTGGCGGTAGGGTTTGGAGGAGTCGCTAGTTGTGGAGTATTTGGAGCTCCAGCTCACATTTGGAAACAAATAATGGAAAGGCTTACTGGAGTAAGGCAGATCTTCCAGTGGGTCGATGATAATCTCCTGTTCAAGCGCCCCGAAGATGCGGTATCATTAGAGACAGTAGAGATATTGAGCAACAGTTTAGGAGTACAAACGAACCCCGTCAAGAACCATGAATTTGCCGATGAACAGAAGTTCTTAGGTTTTATCTGGAATGGAATGGATCACACTGTCAGATTGCCGGTTGAAAAACTTCAGGAGAGACGACAGCAGATTACAGACTTACTTGGTCCAAAACCCTGCTCCTTCAAATCAATCGAACAAGTGACCGGTAGACTGGTGCATACAATGAACATTGTCCCGCACATGAAACCATACGTTAATTCTCTTTATCAAATGATGAAAAGTTGGAAGAATAGAGAGGCCCTTCGTCACCTGACGGATAGAGCTAGAACAGATTTACAAGAATGGGACTTGTGTCTACGTACCTTCAACTCGAGACCTCTAATACCGGAATCAAAAGCCCTAGAAATTAGTTGGGCAGGTGACGCGTCCTCGTCCTTTGGGATTGGTGTACTAGTGGGTCACCACCGGGCGTGTTTCAAGTTCCAGACGGGGTGGCAAACACTGAACCCGTCAGACGAGAAGCGATCCATCGCTTGGGCGGAAACTGTAGCAATTCGCCTGGGCGTGTTGGTAGTGAGCCAGCTGAGAAGAGTGGCAGGTAGGCACTAGACCGACCAGACTACCTATCTTAGGTGTTAAGTTTCGCTGACAATGTCCTTGTCCGCAATTGTTGACAGGGAAACGGTTTGTAGTGTGGACTGACAACACAACGTCACAATCTACGGTAGACAAACGGAAGTCAAAAGACGTTTGGGTGAACGAGGAGTGGAAACAAATCCAGCGACTACTCACCTTGTTAGAATGTAATGTGAAGGCGAAACGTGTCGCGTCTAATGATAACCTGGCAGATGGTTTATCCAGAGGAATTATAGGCACACTTTCGTGGGCCCACGAAGTCCGAGTGGAGATCCCGGAAGACTTGTCCAAGTTGATGTGGCAGGTTTCCCTGGAACCAAAACTTCCGGTCGGTTAGTCGAACGCCTTTATCTCCGATCAATCCTCGTATATCGCCTCTCCTCAATGAGAAAAACCAGGACCAAACCACAGGACAAACCTAAGGATTTGCGAAGAGTGTTGAAGCCATTCGGAGCATTTAGGAAAGACGCCTTAGGAGTTGATGATTCGGAATCGGATGAAGTAAAGCAACATTTCTTACAAGGAGCCTGGAGTGACGGCACCTTGAAAGGATACAACTCGGGTATCATCAAGTTGCATAGATTCGCCACGGTCAAAGGAATCGACAAGTCCCTCCTCCTTCCCATTTCATTCACGCTGATGCGGAAATTCGCAGTATGGGCATCTATCAAAGACGAGAAGTTGGCAGCAACGGATGAATCAGTTAAATCCTCGACTCTCAAAGCTTATATAGCAGGAATCAAAGCGTGGCATACTTACCATGGGGTCGACTATCCCTCGAAAGTCAACGAGTCCATTCGCCCTCTGCTGAAGGCATCGAAAACGATCGAGGCAAAGTTGGTGGAAGCAGATAAGAAACGCCCTCCTGTCCTCGTATCTGATCTGGTCATTCTATTCGAAGAGTTGTCGACCCAGGGTGAGCGAGAGCTAGCTATGTTAACAGTAGCTCTAGTGGCGTTCTGGGGAACAGCCCGGCTAGGTGAATTGATCACAGATGATCCAAAGAAATCGATGCCAAGATGGGACGACCTAGTCTGGGCCAAAGATAAATCCTACGCAAAAATCGCCGTCCATAATGCAAAGACCGCTAGCCCAGGAGAAACTCAATGGATTTACCTACATAGAACAGACTCTCTACTGGACCCTATTTCTATGCTAGAGTCGTGGTTCGCGTTCAGACCTAGGAAACCTAGGGACGAAATCTTCTCGTATCTGAAAAACGGCCGAAAGTGCCGTTTAGGGAAAGTAGAAACCATAAATCAGTTCAGGTTAATCTGGAATGAGAAGCGCTCGAAAAAGAAGCAGCTCCTTCATGGGCACTCGTTCAGAATTGGCGGTGCATCTCTCCGATGGAACCTGGGTGCGGATAAGGACGAACTGAAGAGATGTGGTCGTTGGGCATCAGATGCCTACATGATCTACCTCAGGAAGTTCTCGGCGAAAGATCTGAAATCGACGGTGAAGATGCTAAAGGATTTGGAGTGGGCACGTCCTACGTAATCCGGAGGTCTAGCAAGCCGCTCAGAGTTTGTCATAGACTGCCAAAGCACGCTTCCGTTTCTTCTAGAGGTTTCCGAGCGGTCCTGTACCTCTTTTCTCCATGTACTGTACAGGTGAACTTAAAACTCGGTATAGCCAGCTTATTGAACTTAAAATCTTGGAAGATTCTTTTACCCACCTTGTTATTACATGTGAGGGTGAATACCAAGTGAAGGTGTAGGGGTCTCACGGAGGACCGAGGGATGGGGTCTTCTCTAGGCTCACGGCTCAGTCCCCCGTGAGTGTTGGGGAAGAGAAGACCTCATTGGGTCTCCTTGTTCTCGACCCGGTTGAGCAGGTCATATCAGTGGTAGACGTCTACCACCGGGACCCGTTTACCCGGGGCATACCCCCACACCACCCCAGTAAGAAAACAACCTTAAACCTTAAAGAGATTAAGAGACTCTTTTTATTGGAAGTGGTTACAAGGTTACCTCCTTGAGGTCTCCAGATTCCTGTAACAATGAGCCTACCTTAACAATCTGAGTTGAGTCAGGCGGTCATGCACTCTGACCAACTTGCTACACCCCCTCCTAATAGAACCCTACGGATATAGTAGTGGATGCATAACTTACTAGCATTGATCCTGACAGAAGTCAACTCCACATTTCCTCTTCCTCCTATACACATATTTCACCACATCTTAACACTGCGAATATAATGTATTTTTCCGAGGTGAAAAATGATTACATTTATTTCACAAAATGATTAAAAATGCATTAATTCTGCATTAATTCTGCATTTTTCTGCATTAATTCTGCATTATTAATCATTTTGTGCATTAATGTCAATCATTTTTCACCTGGGAAAAATACATTATTTTTGCAGTGTAATCCTCAACTCCTTCTAATTGAACTCAATAGCACTCAACACTATCAATTGACTTTGAGGAGCTCAACATTGTGTAACATACACTACATTTTCAAGCTTCTTACTTAGTTCTCTTTCTATTCTGTAGACCCCCTGTGCTTTGGGCTTACCCTGGTAAATGTTTGCCAAGTTTGTTGAAAAAAACCACATTCATAAATCAAAACAAAATTCAAAAGAAATGCTCCCCTTTTCATCAAACTGTCCACATTTAAAAAAATTGAAACTTAAATTCTTCAATGTTTCTATTCAAATAATCAAAAGTGCTTTATCATTCCCATAAAAACAACCAAAAAAACACCATCAGCTTCTTATGTTTTATCAAAAAGACATTCTTGAAATATATCAGCAAATTAATTAAAACTCAAACTTACTAAAGCAACATCTGCTCAATTTGTAAAATGTCCTCCCTCCAAGGCTTTTGATGTTCATGTAATCTGAACAAGCAATCACATATCTCATTCAACATCTTGCATTTGAATTTATATTTCAATTTCAGACATGATAAAAGACGTCTCAAAGGCCAGGAGTTTGAAGGCCTTACACACTTTGAAGACTTGCTACCATTTTGAGTGAAACCTGCTCAAGAACTCAAGCTAGGTTTTGTGACCTCTTTCACAGAACCCTTGAGTTAAATTTTAAAATTATATCAAGAACTAAATTGTAATCCAACCTCTGTGCTCAAAAAGTATCAAGTCCAGTGGAGACAAAGAGACTATTTACCTGTTTCTTGAACATAAAGTGTACTTCACAGTGACACAGTATGAAGATGCTACTCATTTTTGTAATTATTATATAAAAATAAATACATCTAATGCAGCTCCCAACTTTCCAAAGCTGAAGAGCTCCCCCTAAGAAACCTCAAAAAACAATATGATTCAATTCAAAAAGCAAAGAAAAAGATCACAAAAAGTGATAATCAATACAAACTAAAGAATCACCAAAGAAAACCACATGATTTCAAAAAACATTATATATATACTTCTTCTTTATATTTTCATGAAACATTCCCTGAACAAATACCCATTGATTTCCTACTTTCTTTTGTAAAACTTCAATAGAACTTAACTCAAAATTTAAACCAGGTTCACCAAACCTAGGTTGAACAAAACAAACTCTTTGAGTGTCATCTTCTTTCTTATCTTCATGAATTTTCTTCAAAGGTTTAATTCCTTCTGATGATTTCAATGTACAAAGTGATTTTCCAATCACCAGTAACCAAGCTTGATTCACTTTAGTAATTCCTTTGATCCAAATCCAATTATTAGTGTTAATTAATTCTTGAAAAACTAATATTCTGGTGAATTAATTGAAGAAGTAAACAAGGTTGACAAAGGATGAATAAAGACATCTTCTTTGATTACTATGGTTCTATAAGCAGTCAAATGATTTTCATTTTGATTAGATTTGTTTAAAGTTGATGAATTAGGTAAAAGACTAGTTTTGATAGCTATTTGATCAATAAAAGAAGCCGGAATTAATTGTCTTAAAACTTTCAATTGTGATTCATTAGGAGGTCTTAGATCAGAGAAGAATTCAACCAACCCTTCACAAACATGATTCTTTTGTACAATCTTTGTAATCTGTTTCCTTAATTTATGAATCTTCCATAGCTTTTAATCATAAAATGTTTTCTTCACAAAACTTACTTTATCCTGATTGATTAAATTTATATGCTCCAACAACAGATAAACTTTTAAATAAATCACTCGTACCTTCTCCTAACTTGGAATATTGTTGTTGAATTTGATAAAACCAACGTTTAGATTTTCGAATTTCTTTTAATTTTAATTCTTCACTTGTCGTTTCATGAATCTCTGCTCCTAATTGTTCATCATCTGATCCACCATCTTCACCCGTAATCACATCTTCCTGTAAAAACGGATCTCAAACAGAAAGAATTGATACTAAAGCTATCACATACGGTAAACAACCATGTTGAGATCCTGAAGCTAACATCCTAGCAAACCTAGCAGTAAGAGGGTACTACTACTGTGCCATGACCCTACCTAACTCAGTAATCCTAGGTTCCATGACGTTTTCTGCATCCAAACACCAATGATCAAATCATTTTTGAAAAGTAAGTGCACCCAAATGAGCCAAAACAACTTCAGCTTTCCTTAATGAATATCTATCAGGTGGAGTTGGAAAAGGAAAATCGGTACCTGTATCGATATTCATCAATTTCATTGGTAAAACGATTCCATCGATTGGCATTCTTTGGATTTCTGGTTTAGAATAATCTTGAAAAGAATTTTCAAAAACTGCCAAAGAATAAATTCGATAACAATGTCCTGGTCCCGTTCTACCTGTTCAACCCGATCTTTGTGATGCTGATGCTTCAGAAATCCAATCGATTTCAAAAGATTGAATTCCACTACTTAAACCATAATGTCGTTCTTTGGCTCTTCCACTATCAATTACATATCTTATATTTGGAATCGTTAATGGAGTTTCAGCTACATTGGTAGCTATCACAACTAATTGTGAATCTGCTGGTGGATCTTCAAAAACCTTCATTTGTTCTTCTGTAGGAAGAAGTGAATAGAGAGGTAGGATATACATCGGTACTATTTTCATTTAGCAAAGTGTTGGTAAGTTTGCTGAGAGAATACATAAAATGAAAACGAGGATAGGAAATCGTACCATCACTATCTTCCATTAAATCAAGACCATTCTCGTCCACCTTCATCCACATCCGCAGCCGCATCATGAGTATCTTTCCCAAGTTGAACATCTTCAACTTTGACTGTATCCGTATTCAACTCGGATTTCTTGATACTTGTTTCATCATTGACTTTCACAGTTGTATAAGGTTTACGAGATTCAAACCTGATAAGCGATTTAGATTGACGTTTCTTTCTTTCTTCAATCGCTTTCTGTCCATACTTGGCTGAAAGTTTTCTAAAAAGGTTCATAATTTCTACTTGACCAGTTAAGAAAATTAAAATCCCACCAGGCGCTAATCTAGTATGAGCTTTACTGGCTTTCTTTTACGCTTCTGTTATATAATCTCCATTAGTATTTCAATTGAAACGTACAGAGACTGGAGATTGTCGGTGGAGGTTCTGATAACAGTGTAGTGTTGAGGGTGAAATCGGTTACTCTTAAAGTGGCAGACATGATAATCAATCATAAAGGAGTCAAGATCTTGATGCTTTAATTTCTTCTGATCTTGTGAGTGGTAAGTTGATTGTCTTTTGATGAAGGAATAGATCAGTTTCAGGGAGGTCCAGTGGACCACCTAGTGGACCACGTTTAGTATCGGAGTGTTTAGGTCGAGGGTTGGGTTGTGTAGATATGAGAGTAGGCGGAGGCTGGTCATCTTCATTTAGAGCGGGTTCCTCGGATTGATGATCATTGACTTTGAGTCTCGAAAACTACCTTTGAAGCACTTGTGCAACGATTTGTATTATGTAGGAGGACTCATCCGGCCACTCATATCTGACCCCGCAGGCAAGTCCGGACGTATGAATTGGCTCTGTGATCTCCGAGTTCCATGCATGCAGTTCAAACGGGCCAGGGTCACTTGCATCTCTTGGGGCAAACTGAGCGTTCAGGGCCGCTCATCTCCTAGTCTGCCTGAGCCTTGACTCAGATGGATGAAGTTCAGCCAGGTTCAGCGTAGGCAATATTCTTCCAATCTTTCCCCTTTGTGGCCAATTGTACACATTTGGACCACAAAAATCACACAAACGCGCCAAACTTGCCAAGACTGTAGGGCCCCCGACGTCGGGGGCCTTCTCCACGGGCACTGTGCAATCATTTTTATTCCCATTTGTTTATGCACAAGAGAAAAAAGATATACACACAAAACAATCTACAAGAAAAATCAAAACATATAACTCATACTAAAAAGACTACAAAGAATGACTTGCAAATTTGGTAGAATAACAAGAGATGATACAATCAAGAGAAACTTAACAAGTGACCATAAGACAAAAACATAAGATCAAGAGAGATTAAGCAAAAGTTAAAGAGCAACAAAAAGATAAAAACAATAAGACTAGAGGAAGATACATTTTGAAAGACAAAATAAGGAAAAAGTAGGACCAGGAAAACATAGATTGGTACTATGATATCTTAGTTTAGTCAATTATTATGGGTTTATTCTTCTTCTTTGAGTATGTTTCAAAGGATGTAAGGTAAGAAAGGGCTTCAGATAATTGATCACCTGTTGTGATACCAGCCCTCAAGCATTCAACAGTTCCAACCAAATGAGAGCTGGTCTTTGGCTTCAAAGAACCTTATCCAGGAATGGCAATATTGGCAGCCAAAGAAAAGGTTGGTTCTACGCAACACAATCTAGTCAAAATTGAAAGCTAGCCGTGTGCCACCAAAGCAAGTACCTGGAGATTGGAGCAGTTTTGCTGTCAAAAGTCAAGAAAGACAATAATCAGTCAGTGTATATTTCAGATGAGATTGAGTAGGATAATCAGCTTACATTCCACTAGTGCAACAACAGTTGACCAAGTATAATTGGATTGTTTCCTTGGAAATACAAGTCATGTACAGATGCCTGAATTGGTTCAGGTGTTTGAAAACTGGTAGATGAAGTGAACATAATTGATCAAATCATTAATGGGGAGTAGAAGGAATCTGAGATGGGGAGACTTCCAGAGTAGTTGGACAACTTTCCAAAGTTGACTTGAAGAGGTCTTCAATGAGCTCCCACTGCCAGCATTAAATAGGTTCCCTGGTAGGAACATGACCTAGGCTGGGAATCTCAATGAGAGAAGAATTGAGCATCAAATCATCTTGCACTGCACATTTGAGCCACAAAGCATACACTACATATGTGCAAACATCTGAGTAAATCCTTAGCTATCAGCTACATACATGCGCGCTCAGTTATCTGCTCATCTAGATAAGCAAATCATTGTAATACATGCTGTAACTTTGTTCAGATTGAGACACACATTTCAAAATATTGACTACATACATCACAATGGCTGCTCAGGAAATATTCATGGAACTGTGTAACAGTAGCAGAATGGAAATATGGTCCTTACCACCCATATTCCCATCTGGGAACCTCTTTGATGCTGTCAGTGTCCTTAGAATGTGAAGCGTGTTCTAGGTAGTGCAGGTCAAAAACCTTGAGTCAGTACTTGGGGTTGAGGATAGTAGCCAAACATCAGCAGCCACCACTTCAGCTTGGTATCTCTTGAGCTTAGCCAACATCAAATCAATCATGTTATTACCAGACTGGGGATCTGATACAGAGGGGCACAGTGGTCTTTGATTCTCTGGTCAGGGTGGTCTGCTTCCTAATGATAGATTGTTGGAAGAGGAGAGGAAATGCTACAATGTGGCTCTACAGTATAAGTTGCCTATCTGTGACATTTCTAAGTATGCCTGTCATGAGTTATTACAAATCATGGCTTGAAGGGATGTGAAGTAGGTACTTTCACAGATTTCCAAAAGGGTTTCATTGACTCAGAGATACTCTGCCAGGAGCATTGGTCCAGATGTGGTTTTAACCTTGAATTTTTTGGCCAAGGCACAAAATATCTGTGTCACAACAAAATCTGCATCATGAAATAAAAGAAAGAATGAAGAACTATGTTTTTTGTAACTTGAAAAACATGGTCATACCTCAAAACATGTTCTTTGGAGCTCAAAAAAGATCATTGTAACTCAAAATATGTTATTTGTAACTCAAAAAACATAGTTGTCACTCAAAATATACGTTTATGTGACTTGAAACAGATGGTTGTCACTCAAAATATGTTTTTTGTGATTTGAAATACATAGTTGTCACTCAAAATATGTCCTTAATAAGTCAAAAAACGCTCATCACCCAAAAAAAGATTGTGACTTGAAAGACATCAGAACTCAAAGTAGGTGCTGGGTTAGGCACCACAAAAGTCACATTGGAGGATGCAGGCACCAGAAATATAGCACCTACATCCTTTTCTCTGTATATAGGTACCAGACAAAGATAGGTGCCATGATTATAATCTATTTATGGCCTTGTAGGCGCCAAAAACCAGTGCCTATTATGTAGGCACTGGTAACTGGTAGTAGCGCCTACTTGCCCAGAGATAGATGTAGGCACTATATTTCTGGCACCTACATTGAATTTCCGGAGAAAAATGTTGCAGGCGCCAGAAATCCAGCGCCTACATTCCAACTTTGCCCAAAATAGAGGTGGGCGCTAGTTTTCTGGAGCCTACATCTATTTCTGGGGATTCAGGCGCCAAAAACCAGCACCTATACGTTGAACTTGTAGGCGCTGGTGCCAAACCGCCTACCTGGGTGTAGGGCGTGAGCGGCGTCTAGCAACAGCACGTAAACAATGGACGTATTGTGTCCATAAACAAAAGGATTCCATTACATTTGGACAAATCATATTCTTGAATCGATATTGATGAGGATCGGGAATTGGCAGCTGGATTTACATTCCGAGTACGTTGCATCTAGATGTATTCATCATGATGCAAATTTGTTTTATGCAAATTTACAAAATTTATGATTGGATTACATATGTGGTAGAGGATGTTTGGCAATATAATGTGATAGGTATATAGATATTATGGTCCTTTTGAGTACAAAATGGCCCTTAAAGTTTGGACCATAGTGTAGTTGGTGCAGCTGTGCGCATCTAGGCTTGATCTACAAACTTTCGCATAAAATCATTCAATGATTTTTATTTATGGCACATTTTTCGGTGCCAGGGTTTCATTCAGCTTCCAAGAAGCAGATTCTCTACTACAAAAACCATCAACTCTGCATTAGGTTGTCTACTCGGGTAGCCAATTCAAGGAAACCCGGTTCGTGTAAGATTTGTTGTATGCAATTCCTAAACTGATCATCAGGTAGACTGATCAAGCTCTCTAAACCCGGAGATGCAACAGCTTTGTGTTGAAGACTAAGATCGATCGGCTGCGTGCTGTGATTTTCATAAGTAGGTTGCTGATCAGGATGTTGTGAAGGAGCCGCGAGTTTCAGTTGAGGATTGCAACTTTGACTCGGACGATGAGAAAGATCTTCCAAGACTTTATCCGATTCTAGCGTTAAGCGTTGAAACTTGATAGGACGTCGATCTGAGTCAATACAACGCTCATGAGCTTCAAACTCGTCCGGTTTAACTTTATCGAATATCGTTGGAAGTCTTGAGTTTGGACCTTGATGAGGAACAGCTGATTTTGTATTAGGAAGAATAGAAAGAGAGCTTTGTAACGAAAATGTATCCTTGGAATGATGATCAAAAGGAGTTTGGGTGACTCTTTGTTGACTTGATTGTTGTTCAGGTGGACTCAGTTTACAAGGACAAATAAATTCAATGACTCTAACAAAATCAAGACAATCGGTTGGGTTATGAAATCGAAGTTGAAATCGATTGTAAATTAACTTTTGATTGTTTGATTTGCCCAAAAACATGATTGTATCAATGATTTTTTCCTTTTGAAGTTGAGAATGAAAGACTCACAGCACCTGCTTCATGAGAGATGGCATATCTTAAACCCACTACACAGTCCTTATAAACTGCCTTTAAAGGCATTTCACCTAATCTAGAATTAGAAAAATCAACCACAATCTGATTTAAATCAATTTGTTCCTAAGCAAGAAGAAAGAATAACGAAAACGAAAAACAAAAAACAAAAGCAAGGATTCAGTTCGTGTTGTAAAAAAGAGATAGTGAAGAGAAATACACTAACAAGGTTAAAGACACTTGGATGATCAGACGTATGTGAAGATTGAGGATCACTATTCCAGATGATTTGAAGTGATATCTTTCGTGTGTGTCTCGGTAAACCAGATTTCTTTGAATCCTCCAAATCAGTATGGATGATATCAGCGTTCAAGCTTAGTCGAGGTTGATTACTGCAGAGATCAAAGCATGGAAGGGAGGCAAAACAGGTTCAATGAGCAACGCTGATTTCTCGAATCCGATCACAGATTGGTCATTATAAGCTTGAAGAAGAAAAGAGAAGTACTAAAAGCACTCTCAGATGGTAAACAGCGGTTTTGATTCAAGGATAATGAAAAGAAAGGAATCAAAAAGAAAACCCACAAATGAGTCCAATCGATTTGACCAGAATTGTTCTTATCTTTAGATACAAGATTTGTGAGAAGAGGTCTAGCTCTAGAATATTTTACAATCTCAAATGTGATAGTTTCTTTCGATGAACGATTTGATGATGCATTACCAAGACTGGTCATTTCTTTTGGATGATTGGTTTTGGTCAAGTTTTCTGGATGGTATTGTAGGTATTTTTCAAATCTTTAAAAGTGGTCTTTACAGTAGTCTGATCTGGACCTTCAAGTTTAACTTTTCACCTTCAATTGACGGTCTTCAAGTCTCTTGAAACCCTTGGAGCTTGAAAGATACACAATTCTTGATCAACTCCATCAAGGATTGAATGTATGCATGTTCTTTGGAGCTCAAGAGTAAACCTTCAGGTCCAATGAGTATGGTGCAAGCTTGGAAAATTATCAACATGACCCATAAGTTTTATAAAACTCTAAACAACAGTTTATCGGGGACACTCTCGTTCAGAGGCCTTCCTTCTTGAGCTGAATTCAATCGTGATCCAGCTGTCAGCTGGGATAAATTTGCAATATGGAAATTCACATTCAACGCGGGGTTCTAGCTCATCGGTAGAGCGCTCGCTTAGCATGCGAGAGGCGCTGGGTTCGATTCCCAGGTACTCCACTTCTTTTTGGGTTTCACAGAGACATGTTGGTGGAATGACCATTGAGAAGGCAATTCTTTTTGATATATAATCCTATTGGTTGTGCATTTGAGAGTTAGAGGAGAAAAGGAGGTGATTTTGAGTCACAATACAAAAACAGTGGCAGGGTGGAGCAAGACAATTCTTTGTTTACAGGACAAGAACAAAGAGAAAACATGTATGTGATCCATTGGCATTAGACCATGCCTTTCCAGAGGAAGAAATAGTTGTAGGTCACTGGTTACTTACTGATTGGAGTAATAGAATAAACTGTACTTGTGTGAATTGATGTATTGGCAGGTCAAGTTTCTGCTTTGATATATTTTCCTTAGTGGTGAAATATGACATCATTTCAGCTCATCAAGAATTCTAGTCATTAAGAACAATCAGTCAAGTTTTGAAATCTTCCCTTCCCACCCCAGTGAGCAGTTAATTCCTTGAGTTAAAAGTTGTGAAAGATACAAAATGAATGTTTTCATGTAAAATTTAAACATAGGTATTTCAGATGCAAAAGGAAAATTTAAAATGCTCATTCAAAGGAGTTCTTTTTTTTCATCAACATATGTACATAATTATTGTTGTGTGTCTCATTACAAAGTTTTCTTTTTTCTTAAATTTCTCGCAATAATTGTTTATATGCCGCTGGCGAGCCTGTAGAGTGTTGTTTGTTGGAGGAATGATTTAATTATTACAAATTTTTAGCCCAACCACTCCAGTGTGTCTAATTTATATTTCTATGAGTGGTATGGAGATATTTCCCACACTCTGTAGCAGAACAGATGATATCAAAGAGAAAAACAGAAAACTCATGAGGATAGATGTTTGTACCATTGGAAGGTGAAGAGCTGTCATCTTAATGGCAGTCACCACCAACTTTAAGAAACAAAACAGAAAACTAAAAAAGTGTCAATCACAGGGTCAGATCTCAAAGACAGATGTGGTGAAGTTTTTTTTTGGAAATGGAATGATGACACTCATCAGTTCCACACTTTGGCCGCCAACAAATTCTTGTTACAAAGAGCAGGGTTAGAACCCTTACAGAAGAAGTATGAATCTGTATGTGAAGATCACAACAACAAAGATCTGATCCCTGGAATGTAGAGCAGTTCAAATCTGATCAAGGGTGACAAGATCAAATAGTGATAATGAAAAGATAATTTATTGCTGGGTGGAGATTGAGTACAACAAGATCAAGCTAGCTATATGAGCCATTTCACAAGATGAGCAGTTTGTGGGTTGGAGCTAGCAGACCTAATCCTAGAGGATCTCAACACCCCCTCTTGCTTGTTGCGATCAACTGGAGTGCACAAGACAGAAATGGAAAGGGTAAGATAAATTTCATATTTATCTAACTGACACTAATAGCGAGAGAAAGAGAAAAACGTACCTGGAGCGCACAAGACAGAAATGGAAAGGGTGAGGAAAAAGAAACCCTTTCCTGGTGCAGCTCCAGGTAGTTTATATACACGAGATATTATGTAAAAGAAATTGAACACTACAATGATTCACACAAACAATTGAATGAAGAGACAGTAAGGATATTCAGGGACCATTTATCTGTTCACACGATCAGTTGAGTAGTGGAATATAAAGAGTACACAAGGAGCATTTAGGTTGGTAAAGCACACTACATAGTTATGGGAGATGTGATATGAGAGAAGTGAGATAGTTCTCATGACGTGAATATACGTATTCCAACATTGCTTGCACAACCCACAGAAGCACATAGTAGAATTCAAAAATGAGAGACACAGAAAGAAGGAAAAGAAGAAAAAAACCCTATGGAAGAAGACTTAGGATGGTAAAAAGGACAATACCCGGCAAGAAACAAGGTCAGATGAAGTCTTATGGAAGAAGACTTAAGATGATCAAAAGCACAATCTAAGAAGAGAATGGTAGTGCAACAAGAGTTTGGGTTTAATAGAGAAAGACAATACCAATCTACAAAAGGGGTTATCATATAAATGAATCTACAGAACCCCAAACAGTCACTTGATGATCTAAGAAAGAAAAATAAATAAATAATGCACATCTCAGTAACCAGTGTCTATACGTGTCATGCGCCTAAGTGATTACTTTGTGATCCCAATTATGATTGTCTGGATATACCAGGCCACTATGTATTTACATGGTTGGATCTTTGCTTGCCACAAGTTGTTTTTCATTTGACAGTGCCTAATGAAGGCTCTATCACAGATATTTATTGGTGCACTGGTACACTGGTATGAATGTAGTCTTATCTTAGCAGAGATCAAAAAGAGGCTGATTGATAGATTAGTATATAGATAGTTTGTCCATGAAAACAAGCACAGGAAATGTAGTAAGATCTTTATATATATGTCACTGTTCACAGCTGACTACAACCATTCAGTACAATTATTTTATGCAGTCACCCTTCCACTTTGTGAGTGATGTATGTTACCAGTAAGCAAGAACTTCCCTGTACTTTATTACAAAATCTCAAGATGATTCTTCATTGTGAAGCATCATGACAAGTTACATTGTATAGAACATTTACGTGGTAGATCAAGCGAGAGAAAGGGCACCACAGATGATAAAGTAGAAGGTCAGTGCCAAGAGTGAAGAAAGACAATGTTATTTTTTTGGTTACAGTTAAAAGAAGAAAACACGTGTGTTGAAATTTAGCTATGCCTTTCCAGAGGAACTTAAAGGAACCAAGATCTAGTGCAGTGAAGAGCCCGAGAAGACCAAAAAAAACAAGTAAGTCAAAGCTTTTCGCAAAAAACTGATCCCTTAATCGCATTTACTACCGACTTTGATAAACAAAAGATCAAAACCAAAGAAGTGTCAGTCATTCATATCCCAAAGATAGGTTCAGCTTCAAGTAAGTTATTTTCTATAAGATCAAAATCAATAACCCACGCATGATTTCCACTCTTTCGCATCTAACAAATTCTTTAGTAGCCATTTTCTCATAACATTCGACTATTATTAAACATATGTCATCAGTCACCATAATGAGAAATGGATAAAAAAATTCATGTGATTTGAAGAGATGAAACCCATGATGACTTACATCCAACACCAAATCGTTGATATCCTCCAACACAAATAGTATCCGGAATCTTTTCTCCATTATTAGTACAAGTGAAACCCTCTTTTTGATGGGGAAAAAAGAAAAAGATTAAGAGATATGTAAATAAAAAACGCATTAGACTTTGACGAAAGCTCTTAGTAGAAAAAAGTGAATGTAATTTTTGGATTGATATGAAAGAAACTTAACTAGGTGGTAATTGTTTCGCATTTTCATAAACAGCAACTGACTTACAAATATGACCAGAGGTTTTATCTATACAAACTTTTTTAAACAGACCAGCAAGAGGTTTAGATCAGGAACTTAATTATAAGCATTTGAATCAAGTTTTTTTTTTGAAAACAAATGATCAGTTTCTTACTAAAATGACTACCAGGTTTGGTGTTCGAATTAGCTCCTGGTGGGAAGTAAGCTACACTACATAGGTCTACATAGAGAGATATGATGTTAACATGAGTTTTTTTTTGCATTCTATATTTTGTACTAGATAACACTGAGAGACTTCTTGAAGGAAGGAAAATGATACGAAACTCACGATTATTTTTACTATCTGGAGCCTGAGGCCTAGCTGCAGCGGTAGGTCCGGTGGTTGGATCACTACCTGATTCAACATAAGAGAGACTTATGAGAAAAGCGTAAAGGACAACGACGAAGTAAACCTTAAACATGTTTTCTTTTCTTTTCTTTCTGAAGTGGATAACAGAAATTCTTGATAACTGTGGTGATGATACGAGAGATGAAGGTCTTTTTTTGGAAAAAAAAATGTTAAGAAGAGATACAAATTGAACTTGTAGCTATAATATGTATATTTTTGTTTTGATTTAAGTCTATTGACAAACTTATATAAAATGAATTGATGATGAATCTGATGAAATCTGATGAGGAAATTGCAAACGTTGGGTTCGTTCCAAGGAATTGATCGTAGTTGTAACTCAAACTCGAACTCACAATGGTTGATGGATCATAGATCATAACGTGGTCTTATGGACTCTCTATGGGCTCGTAAAACAAATTTGGCCAAAACAAAAAAAAGGCCATGGTCAAAAGTGTATCCAGGGTCCGATTCTTCATTAAAATTCATGATCTCATAACCCATCTCGTCACTACATAAAATCTGTAAAATATCAGGCGAAAGCCAAGGGAATCAGTTTTGGAACTTGTTCGGCAAAGGACCGTGATGCTACTCGAGTTGGCCAAGGGCCTAGATTGCAGAGATTGCTAGTCCGGTTTGCGGTGCGCAGGGTAGGGAGAGGTTGATTGGAGCACTGTGGGTGGCCACACTTGGCGCTGAGCTGCTCCACTGGAACACTCCCCGCTCCACAAGTAAGAGATAGAAGGTAGAAAACAACGACTGATTGAAATTAGGAATGTCCACTTGAAACTTTAACCCCTGGTTTGAGCAAAAAAAGGGTGACGGGCGGAAAAAAAGAAATTTTTCGATAACAAACTTTGAGAAAACAAGTAGAGTCGTTTGTAAAAAAAAATGAAGATAGTAAGAAAGACGAGACATGGATAATTGAATATGAAATCTACTCTGTTGTCGGGTTTTTTCAAACTCTGGTTTTCTAAAGTTTTTTAAGAACAAATTGGTTGTAAATAAAAAAGGAAGGAAATTTCTAACAACTAGTTCTTTCGAGAGGGGACACAAAAGATAATAAGTAATGAAAACAAAAACCCACTCTATTTGTTAACTCGACGAGACTCCTTGGGGGACCAGGAGACTGACATGTGTCTCCCGTTTTTGTTGCACCTTTTAGCTTCAGAGTGGTTTTAAATATACACTTGCCTTTGCAGCTTAGTGGTTTGTTCCCTTTCACAGATTCCGCTTGGTTGATACCCGTACCACCTTACGAAGAATGAAAGTAAAATTCATCCACCCTGATTCCTATCATCATAATCAAATTCTTATAAAAAAAATCTAGAAGCGCACGCCCAAGCTCTCGAGGTGAATTAACTTGAGGGTCCATCTGTGCCAGTCAAATTAAACTGACCAAGCAGTGCTCACAATGGATGTTTTCAAAGAGAAAGGACATCTGATGGGATTCCTATCACAAAAACCTCCGAGGTCCATATACAAGATAAAATCTCAAAGAAGAAATTGGTGAAAAACTTTCAAAGAAGGCAAAGACCTTACCATCAAGTAGCGAGTGATTTATAAGTGATGATAAAGCAGAACAAAGCCAATTACTCTTCATCGCACATATCACCAAGCTGAGCCTTCCGTGAGTTGAAGGTCCTGCATGTAGCAGGGCTACCAATTACGTGCCTACTCCTTACCTTTTAGTCCAGACTAAAATCACTTAATACTTTAACTTAAGATCACCTCATCAAGACTGGTTTCATCTTTGGTATTATAGCACAAGCCACGGATTGTACTTGCCATCGTGGGCGTTGTGATGTTATCGGTTTCCTTTATTTTATCTCTGACTAGACTCCAGGGCTCGCCCTTTCTCAACTGTAATCGCCCTGTTCAATTAATCAGCCTTCTTTACTTCATTTCTCTTATATAACCATGTATTCTTCGGAAGACTTCTTGTTTCCTCAGAGCTTATCTTTTTATAATCTCATCTTCAATCTTGATTCACTACTCTTAGCTTACTCTTAATTCATTACTATTAATAATCTCAATTATCCTTCGACGACAATTGTCTTCTCTTTCTAATTACTCTTTTAGCTCTTACAGCTTCTTTAACCTTCTCTATCTTATACCGTAATTCAAACCGCATCTGTCCTTTCGGACTCCTTGTCTTCTCATCTAATCCTCAGACCCTAATCGTCTCTAAGACTTATCTTCGTAAGCCATTAAATCTTAAGACTTAACAGTACCCTAAGACGGGCCCTGTTACATTGGTAGCGAGAGCTTAATAAATCCTTCGATTTCTGATCCATACCTTGATCGTTTCATTCCTTTGTTTAAAAAACAGTTTGAAGGCTAAATCTTTATCAAACTTCGAATTAAGTTCTCTTCCATAATAAATACTAGTCAAACGACCAAGATGTCTTCCTCTGATCAAAGCGCGTCTACGTCCGGCTCTCAGAACAACGAGTCGATTCAGTTCACTGCGGATCAGCTCGCGTGCCTTCATGCTCACATGCCAGAGCTCGGAGAAGACGAAATTTTCTATGCTCCCGAGGTTACCGATAAGTTCACCGACCTCCAGACCCTCATCCAAATCCACCTCGGACGTCACACTCGAAACCAATTGTTCCAACTTCACCGTGACATCGCTCTTTTGTTGAAATGCGACCCCTACGGAATGCCCATTCAAATCCACC